GATGGGGGCGTGGGCGAGGTCTGTCCCGGCGCGTGGGCGGTTTGCGGAGGGGTCCCGTCGGCAGCAGCAGGCGCGGTCGCGCGGGTGCGGCGCTCAGGCTGGGGCTGCGAGCGCAAATCAGTCACGCCCGCGGTCCCAGCCTCGATTCAGCTTGCGGCCCACTGCCGCTCTCACGACTCTGCTCCCTCTTGCCACGAGGGGCGCACGCACGCCCCAACCCCCTCACGTAAAGCTCGATGAACATCGTGCCAAACGGCAGCGTGCCTGTGCAGAGGGGTTGAGCCAGCGCTGGTTAGGCAGGAGGGGGCTGGGTGGAATGTCCTGGTGGCAGTCCACGTCAAGTCGGGCTGCTTTGCACCGTCCCGGCCCCGTCCTAGCGGGGGGGGGGGGAAACAGCCACCAGCGAGCGCCGGGGCAGCGCAAGCTTTGCCTCACACCCACACCAACCCCCGCGCTGGATGTTTGCCGCGCCGCGCCTCGCCGGGGCCGCCATCCCCGCGCTGCGCCGCGCCGCATGCGAGCCGGCGGAACCCCCGCTCTCACCCGACGCTATGAATAGCAGCCACGGGCTGGCCAAAAGCGGCACGTCGGGGATCTGCCTTGGGATTTGGTTGGTCTTCACCGGGTGGTCCAAGATCTGCACCGACTTGGTGGCCAGGTAGCCGCCCACCAGGGTTAGGGGCAGCGCGACCACCGCCCAGATTGCGGCGATGGCGAAGTAGATCACGGCAGGGACGGCGCCGGTGGAGCCGGTGTGCTTGATGAATACGTTCAGGACCTTTAGTGGGGGCGTGCGCGTGCGTGCGTGTGTGTGTGTGTGTGTGTGTGTGTGTGTGTGTGTGTGTGTGTGTGTTGAGATAAGATTGTGAGCACCCACGTATGCTTGCGCAGGCACTGGAAACTCGTGTCGTCACAAGACTGCCGTCATGCCTTCTGCCGTCCCCAACTTCACGGTCCCAGTGAGGCACCCAAACAGCATCGCGGCTGGCCGTCCTGCCGCAGAGCAAAGCCGCCAGTTCTCACCGTGAAGATGACCATCAGGATGCCAGGGTAGAAGACGCCCACGTGGCGCGCCACGCGCCACCAGCCATCAAACGAGCGCTCGATCTGGGGGTGCCAGGGAGGCACAAGGTCGTCATCGCGGCCAGAGCCCTTCGCCTGGCGGGCTCATGGCCGAACGCACCGGCTCCATCCCCGGTCGGCAGGGACGCCCGGCCGCCCACGACGCTCTAGTGCCGCCGCCCCGCCAGCCGCACCGCAGCGCCGCAAGACACACGCGGCCTGCCCGAGCTGCGGGCCCCGCCGTGCGCTCCCAGGAGACGCCGCGCCTCAATTTTTTGTGCAACCCCACATCTGCCCTCCCCCGCACCTGGCCCCAAAGCGCAACGGCCGCGGCGCCCGCGAGCGCTGACATCACCACGTAGATTATCACGGTCGACGTCAGCAGCGCGCCGCGGCTGGCCGGCGACAGGAAGCCCAGCGTAGCCAGCACGAGCGTCACAAACGCGCACCCCAGCACCTGCGGACGGCAGGGCAGAGCGGCACAAGGTTTGGGGCAACGCGGCGCGTGAAATGCGAGACAAGCAATGCTGGCTGCACCGCCGGTCGCACCAGCGCAGTAAGGGGCCTGCTGCCACGCGGCTGCCGCGCCCCGCCCACCCGTGGGTAAAAACGGGGAGACGACGCGCAGCGCCCCCACCTGCACGCCGCTGCCAACGTAGACGCAAAGCCACTGCGCGTGTGGGGGCGCCCTGAACGCGTCGCCAGCGAGCAGCTTCCAGCCGGCTTCGTCCTGGATCTCCCCCGGCTCGTCCACCATCAGCTGCTCGTACTTTGCCAGATCACGCCGCACCTGCGACCCCGAGGGGAAGCTGCCGGTCAGCTTCTTCCAGCCTTGTGAGTCATGACCATCACCACCCGTTTTTGTGGCTATGAAGGAGCTGTCGTCTGGTCTAAAGCACATGCTGTGAGCAAGCGCGGGTCGAATACACATGGCCGAGCCGCAGGCAGTGAAAGCAGGAAGCCGATGGGGGGTGTCCGCAAGGCTGGGGG